ATTTTTACATTTTTTTAAGGAGTCCTGGTGGTTCTAACTGTAAGGTCAGGAGTTCAAAACCACTGGCTGCTTTGCGGGAGGAAAGATGAGACTTTCTATTCCCATACAGAGTTACAGTCTGGGACACTCACAGGGACAGTTCTACCCTGTTCTACAGGGTGGGACGAGGCAGCGTCGTCTCTACGGCGGTGCGTTTGGAGTTACTGGTTTTAAAATTTTCGATTCTATGGCGATTTCACTAGTTTTCAGCTCATGCCCTTTTCCTGTTCTAGAGTCAGAAGACATTTCATTTCCTTCGTTGTACAAACACTACTGCTGCTAAACACTCTTGGACACGGGGCAAGAGTATTTTGAGACTCGATGCCTGAGTGGGATTTTCAGGGGGCACAAAAACTCTCTCCTGGTCACCCAGTCTGACTCCTAATGACCCTGCAGGACATAGTAGAACCACTCCCTAGCATTTTAGACTGGTTTCTGCTTGGTCTCTACAGACATGCCCTTTCAGCCATGTGAATTCTTCCCTCCTCTAAGGTACTCTTGGGTGTTCCTGAGACTGTAAATCTTTCCGGGAGAAGATCGCCTCCTCTCTCTCCCATGCAGAGGCTGATGGGTTTGAAATGCTGACCTTGCAGTTAGCATCCCACTACTTAAATCTACCGAGCCGCCAGAGCTCCTTGGCAGGGGCACCTTAAATAACCCTTTTATCCTAACCAATACCAAAACTCCAAACAAAAACCTGTCGCTGAGTCGTTTTTGACTCACAGTGACCCTTGATAGGGTTTCTCAGGTGATCAATCAGGGATGGAAGGTCCTTGAAGTCATCATCGATATCGGCTAACATCATACGCCTTACCAAAGAGAAGCTGTTCCAGCCATCCCATGAAACTTCAAACTCACGGCCATCAAGTCCGTGCTGACTCATATGGACACCCATATGGACACCCACCCTCTTCTGTGGAGCTGCTGGTGGTTTCGAAAGGCTGACCATTCAGATCCCAGCCCAATGGTTAACCACTCTACCACCAGGCCTCCTAGCCATCACATGAGGGGTGAGTTCATGAAAGGTTTGACCCCTATGGCCCACAAATGATGCTATCAATACCTAAATGGCCCTTACAAAAGTAAAGTTAAAAAAAAAGGTTCCCACCCCTGTTCAATCTCATGGGAGCAGTCAGCCTCATCTTTCTTCTTCAGAGGCTCTGGTGGGTTTGAACCACCACCCTCTTGGCTCGCAGTCCAACACTTACCAGACAGGACCACCCAGTGGACTTGTGCCAGTTTTACCCATCCCTACTGTATATATTCCCCCTGCTTCACCTGACAGAAGGGGAATAGATAGATAGATAGTAGATGTAGATCTATAGAGATATAGACACAGGTGGGTGTGCCGTGGTCTCTGTGGTTTGGATTTACATCCCCTTGTTTTTAAAGTTCGGGCTCTTTGTATGCTTCCTCTTCTACTCATTTGTCTGTTGGGTGGTTTCATTGATATACAAAGCATTTGAAACACATTGTGCATGCTCATCTTTTACGTGAGTTATGTGTTGCCAGAATCTTGTCTCGGTGTGTCGATTGTTCGGTGTCTATCAATGGACAGGAAGATGTCTACCACCTTTAATTCAGGGCCCGAAATCCCGTGCTTTAACTCGATTCTCTCTGAAGGC